AGTCAAAATATGATTTGCATTTAAAAAGATTGAACTCATATGGAAAATCCCAGGAACTTGAAAACAAGAGCTCTGTTTTGTTTGTTTGTTTGTTTGTTTTGTTTTGTTTTTTCCTAAAATAAGCTCTTGGTTAGCCTGAGAGGCTTTCAGGGACCAATCTTGAGATGGGGGTGGGATATCATCAAGGGGAATAGATTCCGTTTTATGGATGTCTTCAAAAACCTTGCGTCTCACTCAGAAGTAAATGCACGTGATGCACGGTCATTGGACAATATTGTTCAGTGTGCTCTGTTAGCATCTTCATCTAAGTCATACCAGGTCTGTGCCATTTCCCTTAGTTTTCTGCCTATTTTCCTGTGATGATAACCTGAAAGCAAGCTGAGTCTTGCCATATATACCACGTGGGATTTTCTAAGGCACATGGCCATAGGAAGGAAGAATTAATTTTTCTAGACCCCAGGACTCATGTTATTTGCAGGAATTTTTAAAAAGCAAACTGAGTTAATAAAATAAAATCATTTTTAAAGCAAACTGTTATCTCCTGCAGAAACAACATTTCATTCAATGATAGGGAAATACAAGAAGCCCAAGAAACCGTGTTTCAGATAGTGTATATGTTCATTGCCAGCATTATAAATAATTAGGGCTAGCTGATTGGGGCAATTGTTACTCTATAAACAGAAGCACAATCTGTTCCTCTACATGAAGACTACATGTAAAGATCAGGGGTTACATCAACAAAATAAGGCGAATAATGCTGGTAAAAGGAACTCTATTAATATTTTATTTATCCTTCATTTGTGTCTACAGTATAATGCAAATATACTAATTAAGTAATGGTTTATGGCATAAGGAATAGTACTGATGGAGGGGTAGATGACAATGGCAGTGTTGAACAATAAACTTTAATTGCCTAGGTGATTCTCAAACATTACTATGTTTATGAAACTCTAAATCATTGTATTACAATTATTCTGCCTTCTAATTTCTCCACTAGCATCTGACTTCACTCCCCTATTTCTTGGTGAAAATTTATTAGATCCATTTAATTCTCATGAATCTATTTTTGAGAAAAATTACTTTGATAATTCTAATTCAAAAGATGAATGTTACAGATTATAGAAAATGACAGTGAGAGTTTTAATACAAATTAAATGATTTTCTTGATATGAAACCTATCCTGGTGCCTGGGAAATAGCAGATGCTACTTGGAATAGATTTGTTTTACATAGCTTGCTTGATGTTTGCCAATAGCCAAGGTCAATCAATCCCTGAAGCAGAATTAATAAGAGCGAGGGGGCTGAAAACATCCAGAGCACTTCATTCCTTGGGAAGACTAGGGCCAAGAGAATGTCAGAGTGGCGCACTCTGGCAGAAGGACATTGGAAGTTTGGGAAGATGAGCATGGAGAATGGACACTATGAAGCAATCATTACCTTAACACAATTTCCCCTAGCCTGCACTGGTGGAAAGATGTCTTAGAGGACAAAACTCAAAAATATTAGGAGAATTAAGAGGATTCTTTTCTTATAAAAAAGGAGAAGACGTATTTACCCCTACTCAATAAAATATAAGACTGAAAAGAGTAATGAAAGTGATATTGTGTTTCTGAGAAAAACAGGTGAAATTTGAAGTTTGGGTAAAGGATCATATGAAAGACTATAAATGTACAGAAGGAAAAACTATAAGTCAAATAATTAAGGAGGCAAATGTTTACTTTAAGACACTCCAGATAAACATCCTAGGTCTTTTCCAAATGATACAGTTTACTAAATGACTTCAGATGTGGTTCACCAATAGCCCATTCACTAGGGACAGAGATCAGTGGGTATGGGGCCAGATGCCATTTGGCAGAGTATGAGGCATTCTGTTCATAATTATGGAAGTGAGAATTCATTTAGATAGTGTAATTATCTTCAGCATGTGTTTCTTTTTAACAGCTTTATTGAGGTATAATTTGTAACATAAATTTTATATATTTGAAATACTCAATTTGATGAGGTAGGACATGGTCATACCATGAAGACATCATCACAATAGAGAAAATGAACATATATCCTTCAGCTTCCCAAATTTCCTTGTTTCCCTTTTAGGTTTTGGTTTCATTTGTTTGTTTATAACTGTTGTTGTTTATTTCTTTGTTTTGGTAAAAACACTTAAAAGGACATATACCCTCTTAAAATTTTTTCAGTGCCCAAAATGCAGTGCTAATAATGGCACCATGTTGCACAGCAGATCTCTAGACTTACTTTTCTTCAATACTGAAATTTCATAGCCACAGAAAACTCTCCATTTCCCTTTCCTTTGCTCCTGGCAACCACCCTTCTGAATCACTGTTTGTTTCAATTTGACTATGTTAAATACTTCATGGAAGTGGAATCACGGAATATTGGCCCTTCTGTAACCCATTTCACTTTGATAATATCTTTCAGGATTTTCATGATGTTGCATATTGCAGGGATTCTTTCTTTTTATAGTTAAATAATATTTCATTGT